TATAAATGTGTTGGCAAGAAGCTGGTGAACAGGCACATCTGTATTTTCACAATGAGAAAACTGAGTACTAAAGAACACATGACAAAATCTCATCCCATCCAGCCCCTCCAATCTTGGGAAGAAACGGATTTTTATTCAGGGACAGTGTAAAAAAAAAAATACTAGTTGCTGGAAAGCTACAGATAAGGAGGCTTCCCGTCTCCCATCCCTTTTGTTGTTGTTGTTGGTTCTCCAAACACATCGAGTTGGCCTGGGTGTGAGGAAACAGCACGCTGAACTTTGGTCAGACCCATCTGGACCGATGCTCTTATATGATTAATAACGTTTTAAGGATGGAAATCCGGTTGATCCCTACACGGGAACATTCCACTGCGTAGTATTCGCGATCTAGAAACAGAAAGGCGGATCTTACGCATGTTTACTTGGAAAACACCCATACGTTCCCAATACGTTCAACGTAGCTGCTGACTATAAGTCAATCCAGGTCGGACTGCAGCTTCTTTATAGAATCGCCCTTACAGAAATTAGTAAAAATCATGAGCAAACAGAGCTTTTGTCACACCGCCAAACCCGTTCCTTGATCAACTGGCAACTTCCCGCTTTCGTCTACCTCCACCGCAGACCTTCAAAACCACGTGGATCTCCTCCGGGGAACGCGCGGAAGAGGAAGAGGCGGGCACCCTCCGGTGGCAACCTGCACGGCTCAGCCAATCCTGGCTGAGAGGGAGAAATGTTTACATCGAGAATCGCCCCTTATTGGATAGCGATTAAAAACTTTTTTTTAATTCTTGTTTTTCAACCTGACTTGGTCTTTTCTGGGTGTTGTCGTTTTAGATCGAAACGCGCCGTTCCTTGGACACCTGCTGCAGGTTTGCCGCTTTTTTGATTTTATGAAACAATTCTCTCTTTCCCTTACGCCTTTTTCCTGCAAATCCCTGTCTGTGCAACTTTTCAGTTTTAGGAGTTAGGAAAATTGATGGCTGTCAGTAGAGGAGTACAGGAGAACCTAACATATACTAAAATACAGTATAGCCATTTAGAAGCAGTAGGTCATAAAACCAGCATATTATTCAATATTAAAACATTTTTAAAAGCAATATTTCAATAGACATAGAAAATGCAGTGGTTGAAAACCACTGGTGCGTTGTTCTTTTTCAGATAAAGATTGCTTCCTGTGGCATTAGAATAGAGACAACATTACATGCAGAAACAGTGGTTGGTGTTATTATATCATCAGCAAGACTGAAGATTTCCATCAAAGTTTTTGTGTGTGTGTAATAATCGCATCCTTTTTTAATATTAATGTTTATGTTAAATTACTTTAGAATTCACATCATAAGAAGGATGTCCAGCAAGGCAGTAGCTGTGGTGACCGGAGCCAACAAAGGCATTGGGTTTGCCATTGTGCGGGCTCTATGCAAACAGTTCACTGGGGACGTCTACCTGACAGCCCGGGATGTGGAACGGGGCAAGGCAGCCGTGGCCAAGCTGCAGGAGGAAGGACTGAAGCCCCTCTTTCACCAGCTGGACATCAATGATCTTCAGAGTATCCGAGCTCTTCGGGATTTCCTAAAGGAAAAGTACGGGGGATTGGATGTGCTTGTCAACAATGCAGGGATTGCTTTCAAAGGTAACATACAGGCTGAGGATATTGTCCTCGAAATGTTAATGCTATGTCTTTAATATTGCATTTCAGATATTATTTTAAATAAAGGCCCTATACACTCAGGATGTCACAGGCTTAAAGGCAGGCATCAAGCCACCACAAAGATGGTGGGATTTAAACAGCCTAATGCTTTCAAATTGTAATCTATCTCGTTTTTGGCAAATAGATAATCTGCTACTTTCTGTTCAACTGGTTCACATGCAACACTGAACAGTGATCTAACAGAGATAGAAGGTCCATCACGCTCTATTGGTTGCTTTCTGAATGATTTGCTTTAGATAAACAAGAGTTTCTGGGTCCTGTTACTTCACAAATGCAAACTAAAATTAATGTTTGGCTTTAAAAAAAACATGGCTGACCTTGTGCTGATTGCTCATCTCTTACATTAGCCTCATTTGCTGTCATTTGTAAAATAATAGTATTCACTGGTAGTTTTTTACCAGGATTTTGTATGCTAACCACTTTGGGAGGGATGTTTGTTTTAGAATCCATGATCTGTAGTGTGATACTACAGTGGCTGGCTGGATAGTTCAGTGGGTTGAGCACCTGAATGCAGAGCCAGGGTCAGGGATTGGATCCCCTACTGTGTCTGCCAGGAGAATAGCCCCCTTGTATGGACTAGGGCAGGCTGCACTGAGCTACAGCACCACTACAAGGAGAGAGCGACATACCATGTCTGACTGCTTTATACCTAGAAAACCAAAGGGAGGGTTGCCATATCAGAATCTAATTGGCTGCACATTGTAATTTTTTAATATAGTACAGTGGTGCCTCGCTTAACGATTTTAATTGGTGCCAAAAAAAATCACTATGGGAAAACATCGCTAAGCGAAATGCGTTTTCCCATAGAAATGCATTGAAAACCGGACAATCCATTCCAATGGGAACGGATTGCTGTCCTTAAGCGAAAATCGCCATAGGAAAAATCGCTAAGCGAAACGCGGTTTCCCAATTGAAATGCATTGAAACCTATTCAATGCATTTCAATGGGGGAAAAATTACAACAAATTCAAAAAGAACAAAGTCAGATTAGTTTAACAAAGGGTTTATTAAGTGCACTTATGATTTCAAGCATTCTAAACCTTTTTAAACCTTTTTAAACACCTAAAAAACAGCCAACACGAGGCTGTCAAAACCATCGTTAAGCGAAACAGAGGGACCCAAACTGTCATCGCTATGCGAAGCATGGTCCCAAACATTGCTATGTGAAAATCGCCCATAGGAAACATTGTTAAACGGAGCATAAAAATACTCCAGAAAACTAATCGTTAAGTGATTACATCATTAAACGAAGCAAGCGCTAAGCGAGGCACCACTGGATGCACTAGGTAACTCTGTCACCACTACTTAGCTGATTTGTAGGAGGCTATGATTTGAGTTTTAGACATAGCATACACTGCCAGAAAGACAAAGTGAATTCCACGTCAGATCAAGCCTGAACTCTTAACTAGAAACTAAAATGACTGAACTGAGACTATTGTAATTTGTACATACCATGCGAAGTCACGTTTCACTGAAAAAGATAATAAGGCTAAGAAGAGAATACCTGACATAAATTGGACTAACATAAGGAGTCATGGCCTTTCACATGGGAAAAAGACTGAGGAGTGACCCACTTCCCCTTTCCTTGGCTCATGGCTTGTTGCTACATAAAATCCTACAGTAATGGCTTATAATAAAGTAAGATATTAAAAAAATGAGAATCATAATGTGTGGTTCAAAGCTTGTTTGTTGAACAGTTGACTAGAGTTTCTGTTAAATCACAGTTTCAGCTTACAGATTACTACAGACGAAGCATGTGTGAACCTTAAATTGTGTCAGAGTTTATTTGTCCTCCCAACTGTATGTGGAGAGAAGAGAAGGGTGTTGTAGCCTAAAGCTTTCCTTGTGTATGCCGTAGCTATGGTTAGGGGATTCTGGGAGCTGTGGTGCAAAAAAGTAACTTTCCACAGCTTTGTGTAGTGCTAAATGATTTCTGTGTGACACAAAAATGATCAATGACCCAGAAGAAATTATCAAAGCAATTAGGTTTTCCATGGTTTGTCTTCCTCACAATTGACCACTTAATCGTGTATATCAGAATAAGCTTATATTCTTTTAGATTTCATGTTTTTGCATGTATTTATAGGGTCATTCTTTACATATCTACTCAAAAGGAAGCTCCACTGAATTCACTGGACACTGCATGCAGTATAGATGACCGAGAAGTCTTGCTAAACATTTTCTAGCTGAAGCCACGTCCAGGCAAAGTTTATGCCTTTGTGTCTGCTTGGAGATGAAATCTGGTTGGGTCTTGTTGTGGGATCAGCTTTTCAGTTCAGATATTATTAGCACTTTGCCACGTTTATAAATTTTAATACAGCATCTTACTGTTGTTCAGACTCTGTATGTACAGCCATAGTTTTTGCATTTGTTACTGTTGGTCCTGACTCTTATTTTTCTTTCCTCATCTTAAAAAAAAAGTTGCTGATACAACTCCATTTGCAGTACAAGCAGAAGTCACACTGAGAACAAACTTCTTTGCAACAAGGGATGTTTGTACAGAATTGCTGCCACTGATGAAACCTAATGGTAAGTGCAGCACCCTGAGTCTGGGACATAATGGGACAGAGTGAAGCCCAGCAATAATAATTAATAATAATTATTATTAATAATAATTTTACTACTGCTACTGCTATTAAGTAAAAGCAAAGCGAAATGTGCTGCTTATATACAGCCACATAGTGCTTAAAGCTGTCTCTGGGTGTTAGACTTTAATTTTGCAGGCTACACATTGCCTCCCTCATCAGTGAGATAGGTAATCTGTTTACTGACCTCAGAAGGATGGAACCTTAAGCCAAGTTCCTGGCCTAGAACTGAACATGAGCAGAGTCTTCACTTCAGTACTGCAGTTTAACCATTGTGCCACAAGGCTTCTGGAGCACAGTGGAGTTGACAAAAACTCTGAACTTGTTGAGTCATCTTGAACGATGGTTCCCAACCTTTAAAATGCAGTGTGAATAAAATGAACAACCACATACCTTTTTCATTCACAATCTGTTATAGATGTAACTTGAAAATATTCTCTGGGCTATATCCAGTGTCCTGAGAACAGATGTCCACACATACAGTAGATCTTTTGTATGCTTTTCTTCACATTGCAGCACTATACCGGCAAAAGGTGCTCTGAAAGACGGGTGTGCACGTATCTAGGTAAAGTAACAACATTAGAGGCCTTTAAGGTCTAAAAATTGTCACTATCAGGTCTGGTCATTGTTTAACATTAAAGGCTTCCCCACCTCTGTCCGAGGGCCCCTAAAGGCTTCCCCAGTGATCCCTAGGGAGCTTTGCAACTTTAAAGGTAGGAGGTGGGATGAGAAACTTTCGATCAAATATAAAAAGCTGCAGCTGATGATATCATCAGGTTTACGCACACAGAGCTACGCCATCAGTGTTCTGGCCAATATTTCTGGGAGTATATCTCTGCTTGTAAAAGTCTGTTCCCAGGACATTGGATCTAGCCCAGAGAATATTTCCAAGTTACACATAGAATGGGCTGTGGAAAAAAAGTGTATTTGGTAGTTGTTCAGTTTACTAAAATGGCAGTTTCTATGTCTTAAAACCTACTATTCAACATGAATATGTCTTCCAGCATACAGAGAGATTAATTTGAAGATACAATATGATTGTAATAGTAGGATGGACTTAGACTGCAATAGAGAGTGCCTTATCTAACTGGTTCCTCCACAGCCATTCCTTGTGGAAGAAACTCATTAGCAAACAGCCTATGATATATAACAGTTCAAACATACAATAAATGAAAACTTAATATAGGGAAGGTGAAAGAGGTAAACAAGATATAATGCTTCAAGGGGGGGAAATTCAATTTCTTCAAGCAGGCTTTTAATAGTAATGATTGAATCCCTGAATGCCTTCTTAAGTCCGATAGTTTTTAGTGTTTACTTGTTTTTAATTGTTCAAATGTATTTTAATTAGCATATAGTGTAATTGTTTTTTAATGTTTAAATTATGTTTTCAACTTCTCTTTGTATTGTGAGCCGCCTTGGGTCCCCTTTTATGAAGAAAGGCGACATAATTAAACAAATAATTCCTTTAAGGCTGCTGAGCAATCTGGCAGTCTTTGTGGAACAATTCATTTTGAACTTTATTTCAACAGGACATGAGCTGTGAATGTAACTAATAGTATATAGAAAGAATATTACCTTTCCAGTGGCTAAAATGACTTTTGTGGACTTCATCTCCCCCACTGTTAGAGATAGGATATTTGTACTTATCTCTCCAGGAAGACAAATACAAATATTGCAACTACAGGGGACTGGGCTGATTGGACCATCCTTTCCCAGAACCAGGCTGTCCACTTACTGCTTGCGGCACAGTGGAAGCAGCCCATCATCATTCACGCCGTGCCATTCGTGGAAGTAAGCCCACTGGGGCTTTCCCTGCCTCCCTGCAGTGCTGACGAATCCAGCAAGGAGGCGAGATGACGGGTCTACCTGCTCAGCTGCTAAGTGGTCAGCACAGGAGGGAGGTGGGGAATGCCCAGTCAGATTACTTCCACAATCGGCACAGGGTGAACAACAACAGGCTGTCCACGCCGCAAGTGGTAAGTAGATGGCCTGGTCCTGAAGGAAGGTTCAATTGGCCCGGCCACCTGCGGTGGCGATATTTGTATTCCTCTCTGGGAGACGAATATCCCATCTCTACTCACCGTCATACATTTCTCCATCAATCTAGCTGTGCAAA